ACTTCAGTTATCTCTAACTGAATACAGGTAATTTGTTTGAACTATGGTTATTGTTTGAACTATGGTTAACAAACTCAAATTAGTTCTAATATCTTCTTTCTCTTCAGCTGAGACTACACATAGTCTTCCAATGCTTTGGGTTTCTTCCTTATTCTTCTGGGCCGACCTTCTACAAGCTCTCTGACTCTATCATGTTGATTGTGAGATCTTTTCCATTTTCTTTTTCAGAACTTAGCAGCAAAGTTTGACTGTGAGATGGAACTTTTTAGCAGCAGAGTTTACTGCGAACTGGAACTTTTCAGCAGCAAGGTTTGACTATTTTCTGCTGGGATTGAGTTTGAGTGCAGCTTGCATAACTCACAAGTAAACCTAACCCAAAAGTCTCAGATGGGGGCAATAATTTACACGACATTTCATCATTACAAAGTTAATCCACCCCATTGTTCATTTAACTTTCTAAAATGACTACGTTTCAGTCTCAGAGTTATGATTCCCTATACCAGTATCAGACTACAAGATCTATGAAATAAAAACCAAAGCGAACATGAACACAAGTGAACTTTGTAACGGTCTTTAATTTGTTCTAAAATGAGGATTTCTTAATTCGTAAATATATATATATATTGTTTTTATTTTTTATTTTTCTCTCTTTCAGTTCTTTAAAATCTATTTATGGATTGAATGCAAAAAGCTTGACTGAAAGGTGGAAAGGATGCAGCTAAAAATCTGCGCTAAAAAAAGCCTTTTTGAGCTTTTCAAAGCCATGGCGGACGAGAACTTATTTGTACAGAAAAGTTCGTACTCCTTGTCACTTAACATCTAAACCATTCAATCTAGCTTACAATAAACACAAAAGATGACATTGTGAAAGAATAAGCTTTGACATAAAAATAAAAAGAAGTTACCTTCAATGGAGTAATGTAGGCGGCAAAAGTAGATTCAAGGAGATGTAAAGTGAAGAGGGAAATTGGAGTGCGTGGAGAATAAGAGAACGCGGTTAATAAACAATATTTAGTGGCTATCATTTTGGTTGCGAAAAACACTTATTAACAACCATAATTTTAGTTGTCAAAATAATATACCCAAAATTTCAATTTATTTCAAATACGAAAGTCTAAACTGATTTGTAGGATTTATCGTATAATCTTGCCAAAAGAAGATAATTTGCAACTAATTAATTTGTTATGCTGCAGTAATTTTAGTCATAATTTAAAATATTATTTTTTCATTTTATCGAGAAAGTGAGAGCCAAAAAAATTTATTAACTTTTAGCGACTAAATGCATCTCAGTTGCTATACATAAGTTTTTGCAACTATTTGTAATATGCACAAAATAGTTAGTTGCCATATGTACCCTAGACCCTTTGTAATTATTGTCAAAAGCTTGGATATTTAGGTAATTGTATCATTATGTAACTAATAAAAATAGTTACAAATTAATTAATGAATATTTGCATATAATTTAGCAACTATTCAGTGGTAGCAAATAATTATTTTCTGTAACCATAATTTTAGTTGCAGAATCTCTTGTTATAGTTGTCAATTGTGTTGTAATGTTGGAAAAATTTACCGTGCAAGAATTGGTAACAAAATAAATTAGTCGTTAATGTGATATTTTCGGCAACAAATAAAATTAATTGCAGAATATTAATTTTAGACGTCAAATGCTATAATAAATGGGCCCTAGAATTTTATTTCCGTTTAGCCTACTGATTGGAATTTAGTTACTAAATGTGGAGTATCTGTAACTATTTTTGTCTAGTTGCAAAAAAATTGATTGCAGAAAGTACTTTTTCTTGTAGTGAGTGAATGTAGAGCCCATGAAATCTTCTTAGCAGAATACATGGTAAATACAAGTGATTCAAAATTTAAAAAAATTTCATATATAACCTTGACATTAACATCATCCACCTCTCGGCAGTCCTAACTGGTTTTTGCTCCATAAACTGCTTATCTCTTGAGGGATCTTAATGTTCCTGATCTTCTGGAGAACGTTTTGGTAAGTTTCCATATTATTTAGGGGTACTTCTTAGTAGAATACGTGGTCAATCTCAAAACCATGCCGCCACTCAGAAGTCTACTCAAGAAATGCTACTCATTTGGATTATAAGGCAAGATGATTTTTTTTTTTTTAATTAAAATTATTTTCTTTTAGCTTTCTTAATTGATGAAAGATCATGAATTATGAGTTTCTGTTGAGTTCAATAAATGTGTTTGAAATTAGAAGATGAAATTCCGAGATTTTGATGTGAGTTTTGATTTAATCATGTTTATGTTGAGTATGAGTAAGTTAGTCGTTATTTTAAGTTGAGTTTGATAAATTTTGGTTAGTTATTTAATTAATTTTGAATGGATTTAAAGAATTGATGAAACCCCAAATTGTAGAGATTTAAGGATTTGGTTTAATTTTGATATATTGATTAATTATTTGATATTTAGAGCTGGATTTGATAGGTTTTCAGGAATTTATTTATCGAATTTTATTGAGTTAGTAGAAATTGTTTGAAAAGCCTAAGTTATAAAATTTAAGACTTCAATTTATCAATTTGGTTGTTTTGACCTTACTAATAAAAATCTACATCCCTGGAAGTATGCAGAATAAGAGTCACACATGCATACTTTTGTGGAAAATTTACTCATCCAAATTGTTTACCAGTCAAAGAACATATCTTTCATCTTACAATTACAGATTTTCTTTTAAAATTTTTATACCCAAGAAATTTGGTCTAGATTTAAAAATACACAAGGATATATATTAATCGCTTGTTAAAGAAAAAATTATGCAATATGAACCAATTTCGCAAAGTTAATTCTTCGTTCAACTTCCACCTTCTTTGTTGCTTCCCTCTCTGATCTGTGACGTCTATCTTGCTTAGGAATTACCTTTTCTAGTTAATATCAGATTACATATATATATTTACAGTAAGAATGTGGCTGCATGTCATTTAGTAGAAAGTTTTATGAAATTATATAATATAATATTTGGTAATTTAAAACGATAATAGCAATTATTAAAAAAAATTAATAATTATATTTTTTGAAGATGTGAGAAGTCATCATATTTTTTCAGAAATATGAAAGATTCATTTTGTTTTGGTAAAAAGGATTCAGGATTTTGTAGAAGAGAATCATCCATTCTTACAATATTTGCTAATATGAGGGACTGTTTGAAGAAGCACTTATTTTTTGTTTTATTTTTTTGGTGACTGTGAGTGTTCGGGTCAGTTTGTGTGCATCTTACCTAATCCTTAGGAACCTGAAGTTAACGATCGAGTAAACGCTCTAATGACAGCAACCGAGTGGAGTTGAACTTAAGCCCTCATAAGTAATACATTAAAGAATTCCTATCGTCCCACCCAAGAGTGGTTAAGAAGCATTTAATAATGCTCTGGATCTCACATTATCCCATGCAATTAAACTCTTCAAAACATGGGAAGAAGAAAAAAGTTTGAACTTAAAAAATATTGATCCAATAAGTACTAAACATATTCCCGAAAATAATTTGATTAAATATGATCAATTTAATCTGTTTTTCCTAGCTACATTCAATATGATCATTTTGTCATGAAAAATAGCAGAATTTGTTTATAAGAGGATTGGAGGTGCTTACAAAATCAAGGAAAAAATTCCCATACTAATTTCTTTCTCTGTATCCTCTACTTAATCTCCTCACATTTTATCGGATGCTCTTTCAAGTATATAGCTTTACTATATTTTTTTTATAAAAAATAAAAAGTAAAAAGTAAATTGTATTTATTAATTTTTTTTAGTTGAATTAGGGGTAATTCAGGTATTTAATTAGTTTTGGAATTGAGAGTAACTTGGTTTTATTGGTAGGGGAATTGAGAAGAAATGTCCAATATTTAAGGGTTTTTTAGTATTATATACATATATAGAGGGTTCATAGGAATTTCCAATAAGAAACATACAATAAACATAATGGATCCTGGTATAAAACTCTGGAGAGAGGAGGTTTGAGAGAATTTTTGAAATATGAGGGGAGATTAGGATGCTATTTTAAACTCATAGGGAGTCACTGAAAAAACGCAAACCTCAGGGGAGGTGAGGTAATAACCCAAATATAATAATACTCATGGAAAGTTTGCATACAAATTAATAAATTAACTTGACACAGTATGAATTAATTAATTAAAATAAAAATCAGTTTAAAAAATGCACAATAATTGAAGTTAAATGATACGAAAATTCAAGCTCGCATCTCTTTGGATACAACACTTTGTATACAAATTTTGTATATATAAAATCACTTAAACACATAAAAATATTTTCAATAAAAAATAATATTTATATATAATTGTTTTTTATATAAACTGACACGGCATAAAATAAATGGATGATTATATGTGTAACAAAAATAACTTATTAAAATATTTAATAAATATGTATATGAATTACATTCATGTTAATAAAAGAGTAATATCACGTTAGTTTTTATATATTAGTTTTTACATTTAACATTAGTTATCAACTAACTAGGAAGCATTATTAATGGGATTAACATTATTTTCAAATTCATGGATGTGCAAAATTCTACAATGAATGTGGTACCGTTCATATTAATTAAGATAAAAGTTAGATCCCTAACTTATACGGATAACATTATTCATATTTTTAATTAAGAAATAACTTTAAAATTATTACAACTATGATCTTATAACGTTACATTAAATTACAATCATATTACATTTATATTAAGTATGATTTATGCGAGCGGCCAATCTACACTCCACAATTGTATTCACTTTAAACAATAAAACAATTTGCCATCAGTTAAACTAGTGATCAAACTAGTAAACAAAATGAAGTTTGTTTATTCAGTGTTAGATTTTACGGTTTGGCGTTGTATAAATATACTATAGTGAATGGTTAGAGAATAAAATCATTCAATTTCTTGAATAAGGGTATTTTTGGTTTTTAATTTAGCAAATGGTTATATGTGAAATATCCAAAATAAGGAAAACCGAAAGCAAACAGTAACATAAAAACATTTTTAAAAACCAGCGTCCCACAGCCGCCACCCCTCCACCACTTGCCGCCTACCCAACCGCCACTTACCGGCCAATCGACGGCGAGGCCCAAGACGCACACGACGTGCAGCAACTCGGCCCTGGAGTCGACTCCTCCGGATATTGAAATAGTGGTCTCACAGTCTTTGTTGCCACCGACCGCCTCACGCTGCTCAACTAAGCACGTTTAAAAAAATTCCGGTAATTTTTGTGTTTTAAATTTGTTTTTGGTAACGATGGTGGCTGTCACGGTGGTCCCGCCGTCGTGGTGGGTGTTTGTGTAGCTGGGTTGTATTGATTTTAATTTTTATACTGAATTTGTTGTATGAATTATTAATTTATTTTATTTTGTTATCACTGATAATCCTATCGATGAAATTTTGATTTTGCTTTTGCTTCAAATTAGACATGGCAGCTAGAGCATGAATAATGAAAAATGAATTTGTTTTAATTTTTATTAAATAATTCTGCATTAACTGACAGGTTCTTAGAACGAAAGTGTCACTTTTGGAAGCTCATTTGCCTTTGATTTTATTCTATGTGGCGTTTAGCATTTGCCCCAACTCTCATAAGAAATCTCCCATCTAAAAGAACCCCAATAAACTCCTTCTCCACTGTTTTGTTTTGTGAAAACACTTTGAAAAAATGCGAATGCTGGATTTTGGGGAGCCATTTTTCTGGGTGGGCTTCGAGTCCTAGCTTGTCTATATGGAGAAGAAAGAAGGAAATGAGCAAAGAGGGTTTGATGGTGGCTAAGGAGCTGAAGCGTCTCCAATCTCACCCTCTACGCTTCGAACGCTTCATCAAGTCCCATGTGTCTCGGTTGCTCAAGTCAGATCTCGTTTCTGTTCTCGCTGAGTTTCAGAGGCAGGACCAGGTCTTTCTCTGCATGAAGGTTTGTTTTAAATCGGTTTTGTTATTCAATTTGGTGTTTCTTATTCAATGTATGTTATGTTATCTTTATTGTTCCAGTGGTTTTCTTTGTATTTCATTGCCTTCAAATTTGGAGTTTTTAAATTTGTATAATAATAATGGTAGAAATAGGATTCTAGTTTGAAGTTTGATCTAAGGATGCTTTCTGGTAGGAATAAATGGGGTTTGATTTCCATTCATTACAATGTCGGGGCGGCTCTAACTCCATTTACGTTTGTAATTCTAGTAGGAGTTGTTTCTTCAGATTATGGGGACATTTCATTCTGTAAGGTGTGCCATTGATTGACAACAAAAGTAAAGCAAAAATATTTAAAATTTGTTTTATTCATTTCTTAGGGGTTTGGTTGTAAGGAAATGGCCTTTTACTACACGCTCACTTTGATTTCTTACACTCCTTCTGGTATGAGTTTGGCCTTCAAAATTCACTTTCTGGGGCTGTCAATTGTTAATGATGATTACAAATTTCAAGCTTACATATTGAGTTGGGGTAGGCAGGCTATCAACAGATAAATTTGGTGAAACAGATTGTAAGTAATGCTTGGCATCTGAGACTAGTGAAGAATAAAGATGTAAGCTGCACTACTTTGAAACAGAGTTGAAACACATAATTACTTTCCTTCTGGTTTTTCTCTTTTTCGTCTCTGTTTTAGAGGAAGTGGAAGGAAAACAATGTTTGTTGTTATACACAGCTGGGTCAATAAAAGAGATAATAAAGAGATCTTTAGTTGTCACCTTGAACATTAAATTAGACGCATGTCAAACTAGGCTCTAACACATGGTAACTATTTGCTGAACTCATCAGAAGCTCAAAACTTGTACACCTTTTCTAATTTCAAAGGTTTATGTTTGTTTTACAGCTATATGATTTGGTGCGCAGAGAAATATGGTATCGCCCAGACATGTTCTTTTATAGGGACATGCTTATGATGCTTGCAAGAAACAAAAAGGTGAATGAAGCAAAGTGGGTTTGGGAAGATCTCAAGAGAGAGGAAGTTTTGTTTGACCAGCATACGTTTGGTGACATCGTCAGGGCCTTCTTAGATAGTGGACTGCCCTCGGAAGCAATGGATATATATGATGAAATGAGAAGATCTCCTGATCCCCCAATATCTTTGCCATTCCGCGTGATCTTGAAAGGGCTAATTCCATATCCAGAATTTAGAGAAAAGGTGAAAGATGACTTCTTGGAGCTCTTCCCTGACATGATTGTGTATGATCCACCTGAAGACTTGTTTGAAGATCAAGAATAGAGAAGGGAAAGTGAACACAATTAGAAGGCGTTGATGATGCATCTTTACTCGGACTGCCAGAGGCATTCATTCTTCAGTAAAGTTTGCCATCACAAAGGGCTGAATGATTTCTTACGTCTTTGCCAGTTGGGATCAGTTGGCTTTCTCCGGTAGATAAACATTATCCAGGTTGCCAAGTCTCAATCCTTGAACCATATCGGGCATTGAGGAATATCCTCACTAACAGCTCCTAAAAGCATATGGGCTAGTGCCATGTAATGAATTTTTGACAGACTCATTAGATAGCATATAGCTGATTCTAAGGCATAATATTACTTTCAATAGATTTGGCTTAATTGTCGAACAATTAATTTATGTATCATTAGGATGAAGGTGGAATATGAAAATATCCTGTGTCAATTTTATTTGATCAATTTTGGCCTTGCTTCTGTTGAATAGCTTATCAAAATGTTAATCCCTTGAAACTTGATTGCTATCCAAATGGGGTTCCCTGCTCTATTGATGCGGTTTCACACATTATTCAAAAAATTAATAAAACATGTTATAGTAAAAGAATTTTTTTCTTAAATTATATGGAAGGTTTTGAGCGGGAAAAATAATATGAATCACCAATTGTCAAAAACCATTGTTTTAAAAACCGGATCGGAGGGTAACCTGCTCTAATAACGGGGTCACGGTATTGTTTTAAAAGCCAGACCGCTCCTTGACCCTGTTAAGAGGCCGATTCACGGGTTGATCGGTTCAATTCGATCTGACCGGTATATAACAGTACCATCTTTAAATAATTCTATTAATTGTTATAAGTTTAAAAACTAGCAAACACATTCCTAAAAGTTACAAAAAACCCCTCTAAGTTTAAAATAAAGCAAAAGGACCCTCAATTTTATTATTAATTAATTTTTCTCTCCCTATCACTTATTCACTTCCATCTTTCACTTTTTTTTCTCTCTCTCCATCACGCCATAAATTCTCTCTCCTTTTTTTTCTCTCTCCCTATCACTCCCCGTCACTTTCTTCTTCCTCTTTCTTCTCTTTCTCTTTTTTTTTTCTTCCACTTTTTTCTTCGTCTACTATAATTTTTCTCTCCTCTCCTCTTTCTCTTCGTCTCCTCTTTTCTTTCTTCTAATCTTCTTCTTACTCTTTCTCGTGTCTCCTCTTCTCTTTCTTCTTCCCTCCCCTTCCTTCTTCTTCTTTGTCAGTAGATTTTAGTGCAAGTGTCATGAAGAAGCATTGAAGATGAAAATAGAAGATAATGAAACGGTGCTGAAATTAGTTTAGAGATTAGGAATATGAATTTTTTTGGATTAGACGAACCGTTTTAAGCTCCGGGCCGGTCGGATCGACGGTTTTATACTGTTTCTACGGTCCATTATCGGTCCAAAACAGGTTAATTAATATTTTCGATTTTGTGTTAACCCGGACCGAAGTAAAGGCCGGCTCCCGGTCGGACCAACTGGTCCGGTCCATGTTTTAAAACAGAGGGTCACGGTTCAACCGGTCCAACTGGTTAGACTGGTGATGTCATCACACATCATGATGATGTCAGCATATTTTAAAAAAAAACCATTTTTTTTTTTTTTAGATTTCTATTTTTTAATAAGACTATTCAACATGATTCAAAGTTCAAATTCAACAACAATCCCAACATAATGTAAGTATTTAACAACAATTCAAAGATCAAAAGAAGATTAACAGCTATTACAAGAGCAAAATAAAGTTAAATTTGGTCCCCTAGTACAGTTACTGGACCACTTAAATGAAAAATTAAGGAAATAAAGGCAAAATGGGTTACGCAATACTACCAGGTAGAAAGATTTAATGCTGTTATAAATAGAATTTTCAACTATAAACAATGAGAAAAACGTGATAAAAAACATCAGATTCAATCACTTTAAATTATTCTTGTACATTTGAAGGTTAGTGTCTGAATCTTGATCAACAAAATGACTCAACAAGTCATAAAAGCATGGTGTGGAAATTTCAACATTATTGAAAATTGAAAAGATTTTAAAGAGATTATTGATAATTTTTCTGCCCAAAATGTTTCAGGAAAACAATTTCCTAAGGGTCTACTTGAGAGTTTTATGGTAGCGGTTATGAGGATAAACCATCGTAGCGGTTTTGAGGGATTTTCAGTAGCGGTTTTTAAAACACCCAACCTGTGCTTGGGAGTTTATTTTCCAGCGGTTCTAATAGTTTTTTAAAATGATAATTTACATATATGCCTATAAAAATACCTCAACTTCAACCAGTATTTGTGAGTTTTTTTTTTTTTGTTTTTTCAATTACCAATACTTAGTATCAAAGTTCCTTCCAACTTTAATTTATTTGTAAGTTCTTTCATTGTATATTATTTAATTCTATCACACAATCATTCAAAATCTGTCATTTTAAGAGAATAAATATGCTGGCACAATGTTGGACTTCGCAAATTATCAATATAACAGACGCAACAGCAGTTTTTTGTTCTTTTCTTCAATCAGTGAAGCAAAGCCATAAAAAACAATTTTTATTTAACAAACTGACAAGGATTCAATCAATCACCTAAATGCAAATAGAAAGAATCAAATAGAAGAAAAACCACCTAATTTTGTAAAACACAATGAAAAGATTAAAAGAAATGCAATTAAATTGTATACAGCCTGCAGAGGAGTTTACCAGATTAAAAGAACAAAAAGTTGAAGGGGAAAATGAAGAAGAGAGAAAGAAAAACCTTCATATCTGTAATGAAGGATTAGAAAGTCTAAGATAGAAGATTCAAAAGCATTGTAATAGTCATATAAATGTTGAAGATTGAATGGGGTTTGAAGAAATTTTTAAACCAGCAAAGGGATTATTGTATATGAATAATAATGGAAATGGGGTTTTTTAAGATAAAATTTATAAATTAGCCAAAACACCCTGATTTGGGGTGTTTTATAAATCCCTTAAAAATACACTACATTGGTTTTGGGGGGTTTTTAAACCAGTCAAAACCAGTTCATAAAAAATCTAGCAAGTAATGGTTTTTAAACACCTCAAAACCAGTCTAATTAAAAACCCCTCAAAACCAGTGAAAAAAAACTCCCAAGCAGACTCTAAAACATATATATAGGAATATAAATTATTAGTTTGTCCCCTCTCTTCACTGCCGGCTCCACCTCTAACCTCACTTCCTCTCCCCAATTCCCATAACTACCCACTTTCTCCGTTTCCTTGCTGCCATCCCCACACCCACTTCCTCCACTTTTGCTCTCCCGAAGTCATCGAAGGTCTTGCAAGGTTGGATTGTGACCTTGCAAGGCCACTATTGTGGCCATGATGGTGGCCTTATGAGGCCACTGTTGTAGCCACAATGGTTGCCAAGCAAGGCCACCATTACCAATCCCGAGAGCCCGTCCACACAAGCCAAACTTCATTTTTTCTCAACCCAATCAATTAGAAACAATCATCAAACAATCCAAAATCAAAATTAAAAAAAAAAAAAAAAGCTTTGTTGATTGTTCTTCTCAGTCAAATGGGTTTGACTTGGTTTGGCCGAGTTTGACCACCACACCCTCCAACCCTACCAATTGTCATGTTCTTCACAAGTCCCTAAATCCCCTCCTCCAATGCCTCCTCTACCACCACCAAAGCCTTCACCTCCACCTACACCTCCAGCACCACCGCCAACATTTTATTGACAATTTAGATGATCAGTATCAGAATCGCAACCGACCTAGTGTAATCTGACAGAAATCCTAGCCGCCTTAGTGCAATCTGACCGAAATCACACCTGACAAAGTGCGATTCGGCCTTAGTTACACTCTGCGAGAGAGGAAGACGTCGTTGATTTCCGGCGAGGGAGGAAGACGTCGTCATTGATTTCAGAGAGTTCAATTGCGATTTGGGTGGGATTTCAGAGAGAACAGAAGACAGAGTAGAAACCGTGAGAATTTTCGCAGAGAACAGACAACAGAGACGAAGTTGATAAATTTTCGCAGAGAACAGAGTGTTTGCTGAGAAATTTTGGTGAGAAAGATTGAAAGAGAAGAAGATGAGAAAAGGCTGCATGACTGCATCGCGTATTAGGGATTTTTAATATGTGGATCGTTTTATTCGCTAGTCCGGTTGGACTGGCGGTTCACTGATATTATCCGGTTTTCAACCGGTTTAAAGTGGCTCAATGTATAATAATGGTTTTGAGATTGACTCGAACCGAACATGTGACCTGTTCCCGGTCTAACTGGTTGGACCGGCCAGACCGGTCCGGTTTTTTAAACAGTGCCAAAAACTAGTAAACTACATAAAAAATCTCTCCGCTAAATAAGTGACGACGCCCGAGACGGACATGATGTGGCCGCCGTGCGACAGGCAACCTAGCCTAAAATCGGCTTCTCGGAGGACCAATTTGGCTTCTCTGTTGGCAGTTTACCGTCTTTGTTGTCGCTAACCGCCACACTCGGTTGTAACCCACTAACTTTCATCAACTGTTGTAATTTTTTTTGTATTGATTCTTTGGACCGGGACTGGCGGTTCACTGATATTATCCGGTTTTCCACCGGTTTAAAGTGGCTCAATGTATAATGATTTACTCGAACTGAACATGTGACCGGTTCTTGGTCCAACCGGTTGGACCGGCCAGACTGGTCCGGTTTTTAAAACAGTGCCAAAAACTAGTAAATTACATAAAAAATCTCTCCGCTAAATAAGTGATGACGCCCGAGATGGACATGATGTGGCCGCCGTGCGACAGGCGACCTAGCCTAAAATCGGCTTCTCCGAGGACCAATTCGGCTTCTCTGTTGGCAGTTTACCGTCTTTGTTGTCGCTAACCGCCGCACTCAATTGTAACCCACTAACTTTCACCAACTGTTGTAATTTTTTTTGTATTGATTCTTTGAATTCTCGTGTTACTAATTTTTTGTTGGTGACGATGATGGCGGCTATCTTTGGTGGTCCTGCGGTAGTGGCGGTTGTTATGGGTTGAAAGTATTTTCGGAAAACCTCAGGGACGGTTAAGTAATTTTGCACATCTAAAACCTCAACAAAACCCTTTTCATTCTTTGTTTCCTCGAAACATTTTACAAAACACAAAAACAAATTCCACTCCCTGTTTTCTTTGGGTTTCAGAGGCAAGACCAGCAGTTTCTCTTCATGAAGGTTCGTTTTCTTCTCGTTTTCTTTTTTATGGATTTTATTATTTGGTTGAAGTTGAGCTTCTGTTTGGTTTCCAAGAAAATTTTGGTTGATTTTAATTCCTCTTCATAACTGGAAAATAATAATTTAATTTAATGTTTGCTTTTCAGCTTTACCGCGGGGTGCGTAGAGAAATATGGTGCCGCCCAAACATGAAGTTATTCTCGTCAGTCCCATCTCTCACCTCACTATCTGATATCGAAACCCAGTTGAGAGTTCTCTGTGAAAAACCCAATTCTCAATTTGCAGATGCAGT